AGATACAAAACATCTTGTTATGGAATCTTGGTTCCACAGAGAAGCTCTTCGCATTGGATTTATGACAATACCGATTTTGGTTTAAAAGTTATTGAATTTCTAAACCAAAGAATCCCCGGCTTGTCTTATTTCTAAACACGTTAGATACCAATTTAGGCTGGCCGTAGCATGAGCCCACCTCTCTAGGATAAGTTTGAAGTCGCCCAAACTTGGAAGCTGAATTCCGCACTAAGTATTTATATGTGAATTCGGAGAAAAAACTTTGATCGTAAGAAAGATCTATAAATTCAACGATTAAAGGAAAAGTAGAGTAAAACTGGATTTATATTGATATGAATCGATTATACAATAAGATCTCGAATGAGATGTGTTACAAGCTGAAAGTGTAGTCTTTAGGCTCTCGCATTCGTGAAAGTTGGTCGAAATTCGCTCAGACTTCATGTATTTATAGCTCCTTTCAGCTCCTTGATCCAGCTCCACGTATACAGGGCGGTTCCGCGTATCTCGAGCATGTCCTCGACATATTCTCCGGAAATCTCGCTCTTTTGACTGTGCCAACCGCCATGCTGATTCGTTCCTGCCTCGTCAGCTCGTTTCTCATTGACTCGGTAACCGTCGAGCTGACCCCGGGTTTCTCGGACTTGTTCGGGCCTTAGGGCCGAACCCTTTATCTGATAATGGGCCTTGGGTCCACTATAAAAATTTTAATAACAGAATTTAACTCGGGTTTAAGAACTATTGCAATTTCATCATATTTAAGAACTAATAATTTTTACGGTTGAAATTTTTATATACGATAACAAAAATACATGTTTCGTGCTAAAGCAAAACAAAATATATAATGGATTAGTATATGTAGGGGCATTTCAAATTTTCTGTCTAAATGCTCAATTGTTTACTCTTATTTTAGTTCTTCAGTTTTTCTAAACAGTTGACTTTTTGACTTAAAAACATGGTCTAGACGGCAAGAGTCCATGTCAGTTTGGAATAGTTTTGGTAGTTTTGTCTTATGTCATTCTTTTAAGTTGCATTATTCCACACGGTAAAGACATTTTGCATTTGCGTTTTGGTCTCTTATATTCACTCTCCTGCATAACATGAGAGTAACAAACAAGTTTTTATAAAAAGAAAAATTTAAAATGAGAAGCATGAGACGACTGTTTCTCTTACTTTGTTTCATTGCTCTCATGTTACATGAAGCGTCTGGTTTTACCGATGAAACTGATAGGCAAGCGTTGCTGGAGTTCAAGTCTAAAGTTTCGCAAAACAGAAGAGTTGTCTTGTCCTCATGGAATCACACTTTCCCTCTTTGCAAGTGGACTGGGGTTACTTGTGGCCGCAAACACAAGAGAGTTACTAGTCTGAACCTCGGAGGATTGCAAATGGGCGGGGTGATATCACCATCTATTGGTAATCTTTCGTTTCTCATATCACTCAATCTCTCTGGTAACTCATTTGGTGGTACCATCCCTCACGAGGTGGGAAACTTGTTTAGACTTGAAAACTTGGAAATGGGTTTAAATTTTCTCGAGGGAGGGATTCCAGGCGGTCTTTATAACTGCTCTAGATTGTTTCACATTGATTTATATTCAAATCATCTTGGAGAAGGTGTTGTTTCAGAACTAGGGTCATTGATAAAGCTTGTTTCTTTAAATCTTGGTCAAAACAACCTGAAAGGGAAGCTCCCTGCAACTCTAGGAAACTTGACCTCACTCAAATATTTTAGCTTATCACAAAACAATATAGAAGGAGGAATTCCGGATGATATGGGCAGACTGACTCAATTGGTTGTTCTTCTATTGCCAATGAACAATTTCTCAGCCGTTTTTCCTCGTGCAATCTACAATATGTCTTTGCTTGAGAGATTATACATCTCTGATAATCATTTCTCGGGTAGTCTGAGACCTGATTTTGGTAAGCTGCTACCAAACCTACAAGAGCTAAACATGGGACGTAATTATCTAAAAGGAGCCATTCCAGCAACACTTGGCAATATCTCCAGTCTTGAAAAGTTGGCAATCGATAATAACAATCTGACAGGAAGTATTCCTCCAAGCTTTGGAAAAGTAGGGAATTTGCAATACCTAGGGTTTCATGGTAATTCTTTGGGAAGTGGCTCTTTTGGAGATGTTGAATTCCTTGGTGCTTTGACTAATTGCACCAAGCTACAATTCTTAGATGTAGGTGATAACAGGCTCGGCGGTGACTTGCCGGCCTCCATTGCCAATCTGTCCACCAACCTCATCAGCTTAAGCCTTTCAAAAAATCTCATCTCAGGAAGCATTCCTCATGACATTGGGAATCTCATAAGCCTACAAAGGCTTTTGCTACAAGAAAATCAATTAACAGGTCCACTACCAGCCTCTATTGGGAAGCTTTTAGGATTGGGGGATATTGGTCTTCATTCAAATAGAATGTCAGGAGAGATACCATCCTCGATAGGCAACATGAGTCGGTTAGAAAAACTCTATTTATTCGACAATAGTTTTCAAGGTACCATTCCTCTGAGTCTCGGTAACTGCAGCTCCCTCCTACAATTAAAGCTTGAGTATAATAAGTTGGATGGGACTATACCTCGGGAACTTCTGGAAATTCGATCGCTTCTCAATCTAAGCATGTCAAATAATTACTTGACTGGCTCTCTGTCAAAAGATGTTGGGCAACTTGAAAACCTTGTTGGGCTATATCTTGCTCATAATAGATTATCAGGGCAACTACCACAGAGTTTGGGAAAGTGTCTCTCTATGGAACAACTTTATCTACAAGGTAACTATTTTGATGGAGCCATTCCAGATATCAGAGGATTGGTGGGTGTTAGAGAAGTTGATTTGTCGAACAATAACCTCTCTGGAAGCATACATGAATATCTTGCAAAACTCTCCAAGTTGCAGTATCTGAATCTGTCCTTCAACAATCTTGAGGGAAGGGTGCCAACGGAAGGAAAATTTCAGAATGCTACTATAGTATCGGTATTTGGGAACAAACATCTATGTGGAGGCATCAAGGAATGGCTACTAGAGTCATGCCATGCTCAAGCACCATTAGTGGGGACAAAGCATTCTTCTCTTTTCAAGAAAGTTGCGATTGGGGTCAGCATAGGCATAGCTATACTTTTGATAGCTTCAGTTTCTCTGATTTGGTTCAGAAAAAGAAAGAAGAACCAAGATACCAACAATCCTCCTCCTTCCACTTTGGGGGCCTTTCAAGAAAAGGTAAGTTATGGAGATCTCCGTAGTGCGACAGATGGCTTCTCTCCGAGCAATTTGATTGGGTCAGGCAATTTTGGTACTGTGTTTAAAGCATTGCTCCCGGCAGAGAATAATGTTGTTGCAGTGAAAGTTCTGAACCTGCAGAGACGTGGAGCGATGAAGAGCTTTATGGCAGAGTGTGAATCTCTTAAGGACATAAGGCATCGTAATCTTGTAAAACTATTGACAGCTTGCTCGAGTATTGATTTCCAAGGAAACGAATTCAGAGCTCTCATCTATGAGTACATGTTGAATGGAAGCTTGGACACGTGGCTGCACCCAGAGGAAGTGGAAGAGATTCGTAGGCCCTCGAGAACTTTGACTCTTCTTGWAAGGCTTAAAATTGTCATAGACGTGGCTTCTGTTATGGAGTATCTTCATGTTCATTGTCATGAACCTATAGCTCATTGCGATCTCAAGCCAAGCAACGTCCTTTTAGACGATGATTTGACTGCCCATGTTAGCGACTTTGGTCTCGCTCGGCTCCTTGACCAGGAGTCTTTCCTCAACCAACTCAGCTCAGCTGGGGTTAGAGGAACCATCGGTTATGTCGCACCAGGTAAAAGTATATCACACATACATATGTAACGTTGAATCAAGAAATTAGTAATATCCTTTTTTTTGCTCGCTCCAATCTTGTTTCTATGAATTATATATGGTGCAGAATATGGAATGGGAGGACATCCATCGATACATGGCGATGTGTACAGCTTTGGGGTTCTCATTTTGGAAATGTTCAGTGGAAAACGACCAACCAATGAGTTATTTGGAGGAAACTTTACCTTCCAYAGCTACATCAAGTCCGCGTTGCCAGATCGAGTATTGGATGCTGCCGACAAATCAATTCTTCACATCGGTCTTAGAGTTGGTTTCCCAATTGCAGAGTGTTTGACATTGGTTTTCGAKGTGGGACTTAGGTGCTGTGAAGAATCTCCTACGAACCGGTTACCAATGAGTGAAGTTCTCAAAGAATTAGTCTCAATCAAGGAGAGATTCTTCAGAGCCAGAAGGACAACTAGAGCTTGACGCGTTTATGTGTTCCTCAATAAACTTTGCAACCTATGAAGTAAGGCTCATTCTGATGCCTATATCATTTAGTCTTTAATTAATAATAATGTGTGGTTTGTTTTTCTCTATACATACGTACTTATGTTTTTCTCTGGTATTTGCAGACGAAATATAAATGCTTTATTATTGATAATCCTCCCTTTTTGCTTAATTCCCAAGTTTATTTGGAATTTCCCAGCTTATTAATTTGTAGTCCAAAGTTTGATTTTGTTTCCTCAGTTTAGAGAGGCTAGTCCAAGAAAAAACTTTTTGTTTGCAGTTTTGTTTAATTTTCGTAGACCACAAGTGGATTTTCTAAAGTATGTACACACTTGCTTGTACAGAAGATATTTGTTTCTTGTGATATGTTGAAACTGCAACTTTGTTTTGTATATGTCCAAGGCTGAACAGTAATTCTGGTAAGTGCATTGATTAACGAACCTTTGTGACATTTAGAATGTTTGATCAGATCAATATGGAGAATTTGGATACATGTTTGATTTCAGCAAGTCATGTTAATCTTAAGATGCTTATGAACAATATCACTTTTGTTCTGAGTTGAGTTGAAAATCAAAGAAGTAGCATATTGATGTACATTTCTGAGAAACTAATGTAGAAGCAAGTTGGCAAATGCTAAAATTCCAGATGAAATGGTAGCTGGTAAGAACTTGAGAAACATTCTGCGGCTGCATTTTTATAGATGTGGTATCAACAATGTATTGTTCTACTTCTATCT